ATATGACATCGGGATTGGATCAAACCCCCTCTCGGGATACTTTTGCGGCCTTTATTGACCCCTTTGTCCTTGGGGCCTTTGGTTCTGTTGATAGTTTTGCGGAGGTGCGTATTGTTATTATGGAGAAGCAGCAGGGGTTTGATAATATGGAACTTATACAATAGCTTTCCCCTTATCATCAGAGGCGTTTCTCACCTCTCCTTCCTTTTTCTTGACGAAACTGCTAGAGTACGGTTTCTTTCCACCACCTGAGTTGTTGTTACCATTCATGCCAGATGCACCCGTAATAGTCCCTACTTTAATACACATTTCAACCCGCTCCCCGATGATGACCATATCTGAAAATGAATCAGAAGTACTGCTGAGCATATGTTGCAAATACGGGCCTCGGAGGGTACTCATGAACAAATCTACCAATTCCCGATCTAGGAGAGGAGGTTGAACTCTTGCGGCCAAACTGCGCCATTTCTGGGCATACTCTTTGAAAGACTCACCGGTCTTTTGAGACATACTTTGCAGTTGTGCATGGCTAGGTGCCATGGCGGTGTTGTAGTGATAATGTTTTAAGAAAGCATCAACAAGCTCATTCTAATTACTAACATGAGTTTGCTCCAACTGCATGTACCACTCTAATGGAGCTTCAGCTAGACTGTCCTGAAAGAAATGCATAAGCAACGGCTTATTGCTAGCATAAGCAACCATCTTTCTGCAGTAAGATCGGAGATAAGTCTCTGGGCATGTAACTCCCTTATACTTGTCAAAATCAGGTAGCTTAAACTTTGGTGGAATCACAACCCCTGGAACCAAACACATGGCAGTGGCACTGAATCTCGGCTTCTTAGAAGTCTCCATAGCCTTCAAGCGTTCTTCCAAAGCCTTGTACATCTTAGCAGTTTCCGATAAATCATCCGTAGAATCCTTTGGAGGGTCATCGAGATCGATGACATCATGGTGGTGATCCACAATCAGTCGTGGGTTCTCCTTAGGAATCCCCCCATGGTCGTTTCTGGGTTCGGCATTCTCGGACGTGGAGGCACTGTCTTCTGGTTTAGTAACGCTTATTCTGATCTCTTCCTGCCCTTGGATGACGGCATGAAAAGTTTCCATGAGCTGATTCATTCGATCACCCATGGTGTCCATGTCTTTGCGGAGAGCGGCCTAGTTCTTCTCAATCTGTTCCATGATCCTCAACTTGTTGGCTCGAGTGCGGTAAGGATGTAAGGAAGTCCTCTTGTAGATTCTGATAATAGGAGGCAAAACCATCAGATAAAAATCCCGCAAGAAAACCTGCAATTCATGAAGTGCATGATATGTATGATGTATGAAATTATTGTCCATCCCGTTTTTTCATGGTTCAATTACCGTCAGTGGTAATAGAGCAACACGATGGTAAGAATGATCATATGAAGAAAATATCCAGAAACAAGAGAAATTCCCGCAGAGTTGAATACCCGAAAGTTATGGGATGACAAGATGATCAACTCCGCCTAACAATCTTGTCAGTGATTGAAGTAACAATATGATAATCAGTCCGAATGCAGGCTACCACTCTTCTTCCATTTCTATCTTCTATCTCATATCATCAAGGCCCAAATAAAGTTCCTCAGTGATGGTTTCAAAATCATGCTCGTTCGGACTAGAAACAAATGTGTGCTCGACAATCTTGAACAAACGACAGTATTTTTCAGGAGTTGGAACAATATGATGGTCCTGGGAGGTGAAACAGTGTAACTCATGGCTGTAAAACTGTAGCAGGGTCAAAGCATCACCATGTCTTCCGATAAGATCTTTTCGCATTAGGGTGGACTAAACGGTCTTTTAAATTCTTCAAAAAAGGCCAAGAACTTGAACGGAAGGCTTGGGTAGCACGGATAAGTACAATCGTCCCTCCTGATCCTCTTGAGAACATCCCTGTTGCTAGACATCACTGATGAAAACTGTAGCATCGTGAAGTAACTCGGAATGGACGTGCATATGCAGGGTTAGTATATAGTTTTATTTTTCTGACATTTCTTTTGGAAAATAAATATGATATGATGTGAGTGCAAATGATCATGGGGTTACTACTTCCATGATACCGATTTCTGTTGTACTGTTTCTGCAGTCCGTGAGTACCAAGATCATAGGTCCAGGACATAGACCAGAGAACCTCATGAACGGATTTGGAGCCCAGAAAATAAATCTGAGATTCCCCTATTTGCTGATAGAAATCCAGGACATAACCATTAGAACCAATAGTCATTGAATGAGCATGGTCACCATCCGAATATGAGCAATCTTCTGAACATAGTCACCAACTGTACCTGTGATAATAATTCCCTCCCCACTCACAGGTGAAAACTAGGTCAGGGTAAGGTCATGGTAACTCAGAATCGAGGGTACTCCTGAAAAAACTATCGTCGTATCACCTACGTGAAAACGATAGCCCTTCATTTGTACCTCATCTGAGCGTGGAAGACATGGCAGCAATAATGAGATCTAAGTAAACTAGCCGTTCATGTTCCACTCTATTCCTAGGGTCCCTATGGTACACAACTCTGGCCTGGGTATTGGGTCTTTTACCTCATAGTAGCACCCACCCAATAAGAAGCAGATCCAGTACAACAGTAGTATATGGAAGATAGTAAAATGCAATGCATACATATGCTTAGGTATATACAAAAATGAGTGAGTAAATTGAAAGCATAAAAAATAAACACCCAAAGAAAAGAAATCAAGAGCTAGGAGCGACTCTGGGATGGACCAGCATTTGGTCGACCTGTCCCCAGTGAAGTCGCCACCTGAAACTGCCGGCTGAAAATCATCAAACAATGAAGTCTCCATCGAACGTCTTTTATCCCACATGAAGGGAAAGGTAAACATCGAGAAAACCTGAAAAGGGAGAAGTCACGGTCTTTCGACCGAGAGATCGGGTAAGGGTGTTTGTTACGTGAGGGGAAGGTATTAGCACCCCATACGCCCGTAGTACCCTACGGTATCCACTCTTGTTATATATCTTATGGGTGTGTTTAATCTATGCTTATTGTCTATTGTACTACTGAAGGGAGAATGCATGCAAAATAAAGGAGAAAAGAATGTAGGGAAAATAAAATTATGCTCGCTTGGGCCCTACCCCAATGCCTACGTATCCCTATTGAGGAATCAGAGCTACCGTAGTTCGGCTCATATGTTTTTGTTTGTTTTGTGTTTTTTATGGACAATGTTAATTCTGCCTTCTGCCGCAGCTCGACCTTTGGAGACTTATGCGTTGGCACAGAAGTAAACTAATCATGTCCTTACCTGAAAAGGGGTTTTAGAGGAAAGGTGCTTGAGCCCACAAAATTGTTTGAATTGGTTTGTATTTTTGTTACCTTGAAAAAGGGTTTAAGTGTTGTTAGCATGTTTTATGATTTGCTAAAAAAAGAAGTTAGTTTTAGATGCAAGGATGCAAAAAAGGGAAAGTAAAGAGTCTATGGGAGACTATCCTATTTCTAACCTAATGTTATCATACAATGGTAGTCCTATGTCAAGGATGAAAGGGGAAGTTTCTACCTAATGTTAGCAAGCCAAAGAAAGTCTGACAAAACTATCCTATAGGGAACATGCAATGAGAGTGAAGTCGTGATCTCAATTTCTAAATTGAGTGACTCATCGATCGGCAAGAAATAAAAGAAAGCGATAAAATCCTATAGGGAGGATGCACTGAGAGCGAAGTCGTGATCTCAATTTCTAAATTTAGTGACTCATCGATTGAAAAGAACATAAACAAACACAAGCACAACCCATATAGAAAATGAAGTGCGGCATGCCTGCTACAGGTCTTTAAATAGCGACTTTGAGTGCATGCTCTTTATTTCCTACTTCACACGGTATCTAGAAAGCGATAACAAAATGCGATAAAGTTTAAAGGGGTACAAGGGTAGTAGCGAAAGCTACCAAAGCAAGCAAGTCGTTAGAAGCAGACGAAAGTACTGAAAAAGCAGGGAGTATGCGTCGAGCAAGCTTCATCAGGAAACAAACAAAGTCAGAAACAATATCCAACTAAGATAATGGCAAACTCGTATTGCAAATGCAATGTGTAATCAGAAGTTCCTTGCACAATGAACAAATGCGTCAAAAAAATAACATGGCAAAGCGGTATGAAAATACGGATGACAACTAAAAAAAAGAAAAAAGTATTTTTTATGATTAGTTTTTTATGTAAAGAAAATTCTAGAAAATTTAAAGAATTAATTCCTAAAAATTCCTATTTATTCTATCATTTTTTTAATTGTTTTTATTACATTTTTGCTATATATATATATATATATATATATATATATATATATATATATATATATATATATATATATATATATATATATATATATATATATATATATATATATATATATATATATATATATATATATATATATATATATATATATATATATATATATATATATATATATATATATATATATATATAATGAAAGAAGAAATTAAAACTAAAAAAAGATATAAAAGGAAAATAGAGAAGTCAAGGGGGTGTTAAGCTAATTCCAAAGGTATGCTGCCAGCATGAGAATAGATGCTAAGCCCATTGAATTTCAGGTCCAAAAAGAGCTTTATTTGCAATGCCATCAGACTATCCAAAAAACTGAAAAATGGGCCTATGCACTTTCGGTCCATCTCAAACTTTTATCAGCCTTTTATTTATTTATTTATTATTGTACATTTGTTTCTTTATGTATTAAAAAAACAAAAGTGACTGAAAAAAGAAGAAGGGGCGATATCACTGTGACTCCTCATCTCCTATTCATTCGCCGGAAATCGTTCCACCGTTCCAGGGGCAACAGAGCCTTACCTTCCTTCACATCTCTTCCACCGTCATCTTTGTTATCCCTTCCTAAGTCCAAATATCGACACCTATTCTCACTCTACTTCTCTACATCTAATCAAAATAGAAAAAAACCTAGAAAACTCAAGGAGAAATCAAAGGATGATGGAAGCGAATCCGGAAACGAGACTTCAGGGTTATGAATCAACACATCACAGGCTATGTAATAATAGGAAAAGTATACGAAAGTGTGAAGGAGATAGGGAGATTACCGACCGGAGAAAGTCCGGGACCTCTTCAACAATGTCAAGAAAACCGACATCCAGAGAACAATATTCAGTTAAGCTTTCCGATTCTTTGCTTCTTCGCTTTCGATTTCCTCTTCTTCTCCTTCTTGCTTTCTTCCTGTGTTTCTACACGCGGTGTTGGTGAGACGCTAGTGTTGTTGCAGATTCAAGATTGAAGCAGAGAATTGATAATTCAAAGGCGTTGAAGTTTGTTGAAGGTTGAGAGAAAATCTTGATGCGGTGCCGTTGTGTTGCTGCAGTGTCATGCGTTTTATGATTAGAACGTGACTGCGGATGAAGCGAAGAGGAAGATGATACGGTTGAAGAATCGTGGAGAAGCTTGAAGATCATAAAGAGTGAAGGTTGAAGATCATAGAGAGTGAAGATTGAAGATCATCGAGAGTGAAGTTTGAAGATCCCAGAGTGAAGGTTGAAGATCCAAAAAATGAAGGTTGAAGATCCAAGATTGAAGATATAGTTGAAAGGTAGGTCTTATAATTTCTGTTGTGAGTGAATCTCCTTCCTTCCAATTCCATTTTTCCTTTTTCTTATGCCCTCTCCCTAAATTCTATTAGAAAACCGTTATACCCCGTGGAGATTCTGTTAAAAAAGTTAGTTAGCCAAGCTGGGATTCGGTTACAGTAGTTGCAGTTTTTGGTTAGAAAGTGGTTAGAACTGTTAGTTCAATTAGGAAAACAGTTAGAAGGTTTTTGGAAGTTGGTTGGAAATCTGTTTTTTGATAGTAATAAACTGGTTTTCTTTTGATGAACTATTTTTTGGGTATGACTGTTTTTTGCAGGTTTGATGGCAATTGTTAATGATGTGGATGAAGGTGTGAATCAGAGAGTGGAGGATTTGATGAAAATTGGAGAAGGTTCAACATGATTCAGAGATGGGAGAGTGCAGGAATTGAAGGTGAAAGTTGGGGAGTAATGGTTGAAAAGAAGGTTGAAGAGGATCAATGAAGATTGATAATGGTGACGATAAATCACCTCCTGATAAAAAACTGCCATCAAACTATGAAATATCTTCTCTAACTTTCTGATAAAAACTGTGAAATCTCTGCCTCTCTTTTTGTTGGATCAATTAGAATTTAGTTGGTTATGATTTAATTCCCTGATAAAATAGTGAATCAATCCCCCTGTAACTGTTTCTGTTATCTTTCTATTATAGCTCTGCTGGAAGTTTGTTAGAAGTTTTGTTGAATCCCTTGGTTTTCTGTTTTGCTGCCTTTTTTTGAAGTTAGAATTCTGTTAGGAGGTTGGTTATAAGTTGGTTTTGGTTGTTAACAGTTAGGAGCTGAGTTGGTTTTATTTTTTCTAATTTACTGTGTTTCACACTCATGTTTTCCCCTCCTTTATGCCGAACTGAATTTTCTCTTCTGTTTTTGTTTTACTTTGATCTAATGCTGCCAAACACTTATGCATGTCTAGTTTTGAGATTGAACCCAAAGACCCTGCACTTTTAGAATTTGAAGGACTAGAAGAAGAATGATTCTTAGTTCTTCCAGATCTTATCAAAGGACTTGGTATCTTCCTTTTCTCAACGCTTTTAGACTTCCTTCTAGCTTCAGGAGTTGGTAGTATTCTCTTCTCTACCTGCTTGGAATTTTGAGTACTTGAAGAGCTTGCAATTATCTTCTTCAAAGGTGTTTCTCTAGCAGACTTTCTGATACCAGCTGTACCTGATACATTAAGACGTGATTTGATTTTTTCTTTCTTGCCACTTCAGATCAGCCTCCAATTACTATTTTCTTTATCCTTAGCAATTTGTCTAGAACGAGTACTACTTACCATTTGCTTAGCAGAATATTTTTACTTTTGAAATCTCGATCAGATAATCAAGTTTCATGGATGGTGGTTTTCTCTCTTTTTCTCTCTCTTGTAATGCACTTGAATTTTTCACTTGTAATTGCATATTGGACCTCTCAAAATGAATCGGTTAAAGAACATTGGATGAAACATTGTTTCCCTCCCTTAATTCAATTTCCAAATTTCATTCTTTCCTTCATATTATTGCAAACAATTTTGAATAAAAACCATGACATGAAATTCGAACATTTCGTGAAGATAATAATCAAAAGCCTTCCTTGCCTTAATATTCTTGCATCCATTTGAATGAAATAATGAAACTTAACGCGTCTTACCCCATAAATAATATCATATGGATCACAAAAGACCACTCCCTTAGAATAACTTAGTTGATCATTCTATTGGGAAATAAACCACAACCCATAAGAACTTCCATGTTTGATGTAAAGTTTTCAGAATGAAGGCTTGTAAACTGCCTTGTATTGCATAGTGAGATTTTTTTGAACTAAACCCCAATTTGTTTGCTCACTGAAATAACTTAAAAAAATGGTTTTAACTTTTGATGACAATGAGTATTTTGATAAAAGAGGAAATTCCCAATGACCATAAACACAAACTCTAATCCCTCAAACTCTGACCGATGAAGAACCATGTTGATCCAAGCTTGCATTAATATGATAGCCTAAAAGCAAAAAGAAACCCTAATTCCTCAACATCTTTGATTCAAAAGATTGACCCTCGATGAAATTGGATGGATAAGACCTTGTATCTTGATGTGGAGAAGAAGAGAATAGCCCTGTATCTTGAGGCTGAGAAGAAAAGAATAGCCCTGTAACTTTGATGATAAATAAGTCCATGAAAAACCCTAGCTTCACACAAATGATTAATGGAGAGATCACTTGAAACAAGCCTGTGCAAAGATGAGAGCCTTGAAGCCATACGACAACCCTAATTCTTTGAAATCCCTGATCCCATGCCAAAAGTTTTTTTTGATTAACGAATGAATGGTGTATTATATGACCTAATGGAGTTATGTACATGAGAAAAGTACGAGATGCACAAGCCAAATAGAATTAGAAGGGTAGGACAAATTTGGGGTATTACACCAAGAACCATAATATGCAGATTTTTTCAATTTTGCAACACTACTTTCATGTCACGATATCTCATGCAATTTTTGATGAAATTCTAAATTTCCAACACCAAAATTCAAGAGGGAAACTAGTAGAAAATGCTAGGATAAAATATTTCATGAAATGATGCCTGGATGATGGAGAAAAACGCGCGTGAAGAATGCTACATGAACACTTTTTTTGATTTGAACATTACAACAAACTATTTTGTGATTAAGTTTTCTCCCTCAATTCTCCACCAAAATGCACGATCCAAGAATTAAAATTGATCATAAAAATGTAAGGATTATGAATATGTAATTGGATTTTCAAAAAAACTCATGGATTCAAACAACACGCAAGGCTGTAGTAAGAGAGATAAAATGGATCATATACCCTTTAATGAACTTGATGAAGCTTAAACTCAAATAAAGAGCAAACCCTTGAGATCAACAACTTGTAGGTTAAGATATGATAAATAGAGAGAGAGATGAGAAGAAATTTGCTTGGAGATGGAAGCTTGCTTAACAATGGTGGAAATTGATTTGAAATTCAAGAGAGAGAGAGAGAGAGAGAGAGAGAGAGAGAGAGAGAGAGAGAGAGAGAGAGAGAGAATTTCGTGTGAGAGAGATAGATGAGAGCTTCTGATTTTCTTCCACCAACCCTTCTGCTTGTTGAATACCCTTTCCTTTTATAGAGTGTGTAAAGATAGAGTAAGAGAATAAAGAAAGTGAGGCAAAATGAGAAATGTGAGAGGCTATGCGTTTTGTGTTGTTTGGAGGGTGAAAAACGTGAGTTTTGTTAAGTGAGAAGGGATGGGGTAAGAGTTGGCATGTTGGGACTTGGTTGACATAAAATTAATCCATGCATTCCCATACAATTTTCACCATTTCACGAACACTTATTTACCTCCTTATATCTTCCTCTATGATGCATGAAATGTCACAAACTTTGAATAAACAATAGAGAGGACACTTCATACTCCAACTTTCATGTTCAAATTTTTTCAAAATGAGACTTGAATCAATGTGATATTTGGCCATGAACACATGCTTAAAAACTGTTTGATAAAATTCCAGGCCTAGCTAGGCTGGCTGCGCGCGCGTGATTGCTTGCTGGGCAGAAAATTCCGCATGCATGGTGCCTACTTCTCACAATTATATCTCAAAATGTAGGAAGAATTTGGAGAAACTTTATGAAGCAAAGTTGTTCCTCACTGTTGTACCCCAAAATTTGCCCTCCCATATTTCTCAACACATGGCAAGTGGGGTCCCCAAGTTGCTCAAGGAGGTTCAAGAATTGACCAGACAAGCTCTCTCCTAAGGCAGTATATCTCAAATTAGGGTTTCTATTTTCATCAAAATGTGTGAACTACAAAGGACTCAAATGCTCACCATTGTCCTAATATGTTCTCAAGATCATCCATGTCAATTTTCAAGCCTTGCAGAAGAAGTTTGCTCAGTCAATCAGTCAAATGCCTAAAAATCAACTATACTAGGTCAAAAGTCAAATGTGGCCCACATATAGTCAAACTTTAAGATTTTTTGGTAAACATCCTCATTTTGAAGTATTATCCATCATTTTATCAACGGTTGATCATGATTCCTCAAGGGTTGCTCACAATTCATCAAAACCCAAAAGTTGCTAAATTAGGGTTTTGTAGGAAAAGTCAACTCAACTTTGACCAAGCATAACTTTCTCATACTTTATCAGAAATGACCCATCCAATGCTCATTTTGAAGAGGATGCAATTACCTACAATTAAAATTCATCTCCCAAGTTCAGAATATGCACTCACAAAAAGATATGAATTTTGACATTATAGGTCCTTTTGAAAAGTCAACAAAAACACATTTTGGGTCAAAGCTTCATACATGAACATGGAAGACCAAATTGATATTATATCTAAAGGGTTGCTTAGAGGACATCCTAAGCTTTCTAAAAAGTCCAAGAACACCTCTCTAGGGTCTAAATTGAGAGAGTTACGCATTGGCCAAGTTGACCATTTTTGCAAAATTGCCAAAAGTCAAATGTGCTCAAATTTGCATTTTTTTCTAAATGGGCCTAACTTTTTATGCTTGAACCTAAATTATAATGTGGTCCACGACTCAAATGTTCACTCACCCATTATGTGCTTCAAATTTCAATTTATTTTGATTTTTCATTAATTAAAAAGTGGATTAAATCAAATAAATGATGAAAATTAATAAAGATATGACTTGATTTGTTTTTTTTTTACAGTTTAGCAATCAAGATATGCTGAGATTACAAGATCAATTCGAGTTAAGGCCAATTGGTACAAGAAAGGCATGATTTGGCTCAAAATAGGAACATATCATACAACTTGAAAATCAAATCAAATCTTGGATAAATGCAAAGATTCATTCCAAGTTTGTTAACCTAATTCATTCTAGGTTATATAATGAAGAATTGCAGATTAAAAAAAAAGGGTTAGTGGTCGTGTAAAGCACAGAACAAAACTGAAAATTTCAAAGAAAAGTGGGAGTTGGTTTTCATTCCACACGCTATCTCAAGTCCTCCTAGCCATTCCAATCGCTTGCTAGACATCTCAAGAAGCTAACAACATCCTTTGCAAGCTTTAACACGCCCAGAAATGCGCTCTATACCTCACGCGGTTTGCAAGCTTTTTCAAATTTTATTATTGCAATTTATGCATCTTTAGCACTTTTAATTGTCATAGTTGTGATTATTATCATGTTTTCAAGCTAACAAGATGGTTTAATTGCATTTTTGAAGCTTATATACACACCTGCCATTGTTAGGGTTTTATGTTTTTGTTTAGGGGTTTTCAATATATGAAAAATTAGGACTTGAATTAGTTACCATGATGCTCGTGAGGATGAGACGAGTTGATTGGTACCATCACTTTTCATTTATCTTGCTCGTGTGCAATTTTTGAGATGAACAGGTTTGTACCTACAGTAAACGTCTGTAGGTAAAATTCTTGTTTTCTAAGACAACAGAGAAAGGAAGAAGACGCTTGCGTGTCAACCAGCCATTGGGACGTTTGAATATTCGCGCCTTGGATTCAGTTTCTTTTTGCTTTTCTTATATTATGATTTATTGTTGTTATAATGACAAGTTAACAACGCAACGCAGCTGGCAAGCAAGCATTGGATTTGAGTATAAGGACGTGGGTTCGATCCCCAGGTCCCAGTGTTTTCACTTATGTTATTTTCAGTCAGCCAATCCAGTGCTTCACAATCTCAAGCGCCCACCATGCTCCATCAAAATTCATCCATCTGATCCAGTGTGTTATCAAATCCAACGCCCAGATAGCAAGGGACCACCATACACCTCAAAGTGAACACTACATGGGATCAAGCGTGGTCAACCAGGCTTTGGAGTATTTGGGCCCAGAAATTCAGATGCAAACCCCCTTTTTGCTAACAACAACACAAGCCCATTCCTCTATTTTTCTTATTATTTTATTTTTGCTTTATTATTAACTCTTTATTTATTTTATTTTTAAATTAATTTTTTTATAAAATCATAAAATCAAGAATTCACAAAAAAATAGAATTAGGTTTTTTTTAATCAAATTTAATTTAATTAATTTAATTTAGTTTAGGGTAACTTTTATTTATTTTTCTATAATTAAAATCAATTAGAAAATTAGGTTTAAGTGCTTGATTTAATTCTTTTCTTTTTTCAAACAAAAATACAAAAAATAGATTAACTTAGTTATTTTTCTTAATTAAAATTAATTAGTAATTAGGGTCCTTTGCAATTCAATTATTTCATTATTTTCTCAAATAACAAAACATGGCAAAAAACATTTTTTCTCTCATCAATCGCAAGTAGGATTAGTCAAAGGGTCAAAACCCTAATCGCCTCGCATTTAATCTACCGCGCGCATTTAATTCTTTTTATTATTGTTGTAACTGTTCAGGGTTTGTAATAGTTAATTTAGGGTTTTTATTTACCGTTTAAATCCACGATTTTTGGCTATGTAATTAATCCCCCTCCCCGGAGCCTTGTAATAGCTAGGTTTATTTTCTCGCATTTTAAATTCCTGCAAATATTTAACTGTCTAGATGTATGGCTAATAGGATTGTATGGCAAGAATGCATGACAAATTAAAACGGTTAGAAAACCCTAATGTGTAAAGATTAAATAACTGAAACAAATCACTCGCACATATTCACTCTTAGGGTATACTCTCACTTCGGTTGCCTTCGGTAAACGATCATTAAGCATAGGGTGCCTTAGTGGTTTCCCTCCAGTCTAAAGATCAAATTGTCCCGTTCGAATGTTTCCTCGGAAATGTTGCCTCGGAAATGTTGCCTCGGAAATGTTGCCTCGAAAGATCTTAAGACTCTAGGGTTACTACTAAGGTGTCCTAATATTGCTTTAGTGACCGTACGTCCATTTCGAATTGACCCTTATAACTCCAACGATGGTGCTACCTATTTCTCAATAGTAGGATAGCGCTGTCTAAAGGAAACAAGAATAGAAAAAATCTTTTTTCCGAGTAGGTAGATGCTAGTAGATACTTGCTCAAATCAAAACTTTTCACACAAACACTTTCCAAACAAAGTTTTCAAAAACAACTTCGTAACACTCTTGAGGACAGAAACAAGGGTTAAAACAAAGTAAAGTAAAACATTTTCAAAGCAAGCACAAACACAAGCAATTTAAAAATGAGCAAGTACCTAAGAGCCTGTGGAAAACCACAGATAGAAAGGGTGCTAACACCTTCCGTTTCTATAATCTACCCCCCA